TGTCATCGCATACACCCCGTAGGTGGGTGTAGTACCAGCCTAGCAGGGCTTGGTGAGCGCTGGGATAGCGATGGCACCACGCATGGCGTGCAGTGCGGGCTCCCACTAGAGGGAGCGGGAGAGTGTCAGCCCATGGACAGGGTTGCCCCGGGCCATGGCACTCTGGTTGACCCCGTAGGCACGTGATCCGGAGTGTCCATAGGGAGGCCCCCAGGTGGGGGGGCTAGGGGGTGATCACGTGTCCGGAGAGAGATCTCGAAAGGGATCGAGAGAGAGCTGGAACGCTCTAGAAGGTGGGCGGGGCCAAGGGCGGAGCCGGCCCCGACCTGGGAGGATATAAGGTGGGTCCCTGGGAAGGACCGGGGTTGCTACGTTCTGCAAGCTGGAAGCTCCACGTTCTACATCTGAAGAGGCACCAACACGTGGCCCGGGACCCGAGTCTGGGTCCGGTCCATCGTAGCCCTAACCCCTGTATGGTAGTGTAGTAAGCTGGGTGGTCACCACCCTAGGCTGTATCTGGTAAAGGGGCAGCTACTTCTTCTGGAAATACGTGTTGTGTAATAAATGTGTTGCCTTTGAAGAAGAACGTATGCGACTCAGTTGGACTTACTACAAATGTTTAAGTACGGTATTGAAATATCAGTGTGTGTGAGGGGGGAGAAATAGTGCAGTGGGTAGCACATTGCGCTATGAACCCAGTTACCCGAGTTCGATTCCCGCTCATGACCAACAGGACACTTACAAGACACTCACTGATTAACAATATTTTTTTACAGGAGATTCTTGCTTTACTCATTGGTTTTTTCGGTAAAGTCACGTATGTAGAAATACAATAAAATTATATCAAAACAAAAAACAATCACGACGTTTCGATCACAACGCAAGCGATCTTCATCAGGTGTCAAGAACCAATCACGGAGGTAAATACAACAAAAAGATGAGAGACGAGAATTCAACAAACCTGAAAAACCATTATGTGAAGCACATCCAGTCAGGCCAACAACACAGTTAGACACTTCCTGGCAGACTACGAATTTCAGAAGAGTATTAAATTTCGTGTTCAACCTTTGGATTGCACATACCAGCATAGACAGAATGAAAAATACGAGGTACACGGTCAGTAGAAATACATATACAAGTCCACCAAGAGGTAAGGAGGGAGGAAAGACGGACAGGGAGGCAGAGAGAGAGGGGGGGAGGGGCAGAGGGATGAACAGAAGCTTAAATAGGAAATACGGTTGGAGGGGGGGAGGGGCCAGAGCGAGAGTGGCAGCTCAAACACGCACATCTTACACATACAAAACGGCAGCTCAAAAAAAGACCATCTCTTGTAAATACAAAACGGCAGCTCAAAAAATGACCACCTCTTGTAAATACAAAACGGCAGCTCAAAAAAGGGCACATCTTGCACATAATTACAATGGTAACTTCCCCGTAGAAGTGTGATAATAAAGTATTAAAGCTTTCGTGACTGCATAAAATTACTCATTGTTTTTTTTCGGTAAAGTCATGTACTTTATTATCACACTTCTACGGGGAAGTTACCGTTGTAATTATGTGTAAGATGTGCCCTTTTTTGAGCTGCCGTTTTGTATTTACAAGAGGTGGTCATTTTTTGAGCTGCCGTTTTGTATTTACAAGAGGTGGTCCTTTTTTGAGCTGCCGTTTTGTATGTGTAAGATGTGCGTGTTTGAGCTGCCGCTCTCGCTCTGGCCCCTCCCCCCCTCCAACCGTATTTCCTATTTAAGCTTCTGTTCATCTCTCCGCCCCCCACCCCCTCTCTCTGCCTCCCTGTCCGTCTTTCCTCCCTCCTTACCTCTTGGTGGACTTGTATATGTATTTCTGCTGACCGTGTACCTCGTATTTTTCATTCTATCTATGCTGGTATGTGCAATCCAAAAGTTGAACACGAAATTTAACACTCTTCTGAAATTCGTGGTCCGCCAGGAAGTGTCTAACTGTGTCGTTGGCCTGACTGGATGTGCTTCACATAATGTTTTTTCAGGTTTGTTGAATTCTCGTCCCTCATCTTTTTGTTGTATTTACCTCCGTGATTGGTTCTTGACACCTGATGAAGATCGCTTGCATTGTGATCGAAACGTCGTGATTGTTTTTTTGTTTTAATATAATTTTATTGTATTTCTACATACGTGACTTTACCGAAAAAAACAATGAGTAATTTTATGCAGTCACGAAAGCTTTAATACTTTATTAGATTCTTGCTTTGCCAAACTACAAACTGGTCAGCTGATGATCCTCATCGCACACACACACATCCATATATACAGTTGCAAATGAGGGTTCTAGTCTGGTTGAAGGGGCGAGCAAACCCTCCACCTTACAATTAATTACCAGAGGATCAGAGAATGTGATGGAGGTCTCGAGGGGACAGGCATGAACGGCGTTCACTGGGAAAACCCTGTTTGGTGGAGCCAGGTGACTGAAACCCTCCTCGGGGGGAGCCTCCACAAACACCGTTCTTTCAAAGGTGCATTGACACAACACCTTGGGTACATGTCTGGTCAAATCAACATCTGCAGGGTGGAACAGCGAATGTGAGCCTATGTCATTGACACCAGCACCTGCTGTGGAGCTGATCTAGCCATTGCCCATCGGATTGTCTGTAAGATGCACCTGCCATTCTAGGATTCCATTCAATTGACAATAGGCCAGTATCAGCTGTTGAAAATTGTGAAAATGTGATCATCACCTGCAACTGGGATTGGTATCTTGTCTTCCACCTGATGCTGAGGGGAAATGAGTGAGGTTCAGGAATCTGGTTCGTGCAGCTGCTATGGCAGCACTGGGTATCCAGTCCAGACCCCTGCCCCCCAGAAACCATGGCTGATGAAGTATTTCAGCTGGGCGAAAGAATGCAACGGGCTCATTTTCACAATCTACCATATCCCACGTCCAAGAATGAGGCAACTTATTGCATCGTTCTTTTGGAGATTCGCAAAGCCATTTAGCGCTGCCATGATAAGCGGTGGTTGCGGGGGGTTGCTGAAATGGGAACGATGTCAGTCGCCCAGGATCACAAACCACTCAATTTGATCAAACAGTTATACTGGTAGGAACCTCCTGGTTACTACATCAGCCCACAGGGGATTATTGTGTCCATCCGTCCGTCGTGCATTCAAAAATGGGAGGGGTGGGGCTGGATGGAGTGGGGCTGGGTGGAGAGGGGAGGGTGGGGAGGGGCTGGGTGGGGAGGGGCTGGGTGGGGAGGGTGGGGCTGGGTGGGGGGTGGGAGGGGTGTGACTGGGTGGGGAGGGGCTGATCACCCCGTGGTGCCCTTATAAAACTCAACGTTTAACCTACTCACGCCGGCTTGTCGGGCATGTTGTGCGGAATACACCACGCCGCCGTTGACCCTGTCCATTGACCGAGCAACCCAACGTTCCTACCAGCTCCGTCCACAGGAATGTGTTTTGCAGCACTACCCTCATTACCATACTTAAAATGAATAAACGTGATGAGGGGAAATCCCTCGGCCCCAACATCATGGTGCAAGGGTGGGGAGCTGGCCCCTTCTATGGTTTCACAGGTTATATGAAGTAGAGAGCCCCTGTGTAGAGGTGTGGAAAGTACCCAGAGTCTGAGATCAGGTAAACTTCCAGGCAGGGATGACCTTCCATGCACATCGCTGAGGGAGCGATGACAATTGTGGGTAGGCTGCCTTACACAACATCATTACAACTTCTTGCACAACGGGAACATTTCTGCAGGATTGGAAGAATGCCCTGGTGGTCCCCCCACCCCCTTTTAGAAGGGGAACAGCACTGACTGTCATTATTATTGTTATTAAAGATTATCTTCCCAGGCACACTGAGAAGCTTACAGAACTCCAGTGTTGTTTCAGGCAGCAGCAGTTCTGCAGAGAAACAATACTCTCTGTCAATTTGCTACTGCAAAGGTGTAGGCAATTTTAACAGGACCTACACCTCTGTTGTATTGATCTAGTTAAGGCATCTTATACCAACAAGAGGCTATAGTTTGGTGCCCTATGATTGTGCACAAGTATAAAACTACTTGGCTGGGAATCTAAGGCATTCCTGGTAACCTTGGGGTGCAACAGGGATGTACTCTAGCTCCTGGGCTATTTAACATATATTTTTTTACCACAGATGGAGATTCCCATCATGGCATGTGTGTGTATCTAAGCAATGCATTTGTATTTGTCTATTATGCATGAAACAATAAATAAGTTCTTCTGGTCACCAAATATGCATAGCATCATGCGTGTAAGAATTAATTATTTACGAATCTTGCAATTTAAGTTACATTTATATAAAATTCTTACATTTAGGCTAATAGAGTGAACGATACAACAATTGAGAAAGAAGATACTGATAAAACTGATTCTTGTATGGAATCATGACCCCAACTCATGACAATCTGCCAAACTGCGGGAGTGGGGCATCATTGCAAGCCTAGTATCGATAGGTGTGTGTTTTTGCCTCTGTAAATGTGAGGTATGTATGTGTAAGAGGTTCAGTAAAAAAGTGAGTGTAAATATTTTGTTACAATTGAAGAAATGATAGAAATTGCGCTTAAGATTATTATTTTTATCTCTATCTCCTCCAACACCTTGTGTGCATGTAGTCACGTGGTATAACAGGACAATCACATGAGCAGGCCCTGTCAGTGTGAGTTTGGCACCTTCTGATTTATATTTGAGAAAGAACAATGACACAACGTGAAATTGTCGTGCTAAAATGAAAAAGTTATCCTCCGTAACGCTCCCCATCTTACAAGACGCCCACACAGAGAATGTAATGAGTTTAACTCTCTTTTATAGGAACTCATTTTTGAGAAAGACATGAAAGCAAACGTGAAGAGGCAGGTCAATGAAATCTCCGCTTAAGACTTCCACGACTGCTGCCATGAGCTACGTGATTTTTGGCAACAATGCATACATGAGGAATGAGACTACTTTGAAGGCGCCTCATGACGTGTTTAACGTGTCTTTGTAGGTCTATAAGTGGCATGTGTGTCACCTCTGTAGACGGTGAGTGTGGCAGAGGCTGTTGCCACTCCGACCCCGTTGGACGCTGTACACTCGTACTCCCCTTCGTCGCGAGGGGTTCTCAGTGGCTGAATCCGGAGCACGGAGCCTGAACCATCCTCAAACTCCGTCACCTGCGTAATCACAAAGACCACTCATTTACAGCTAAACGACTCACAAGCACAGAGCCTGAGTCATTGTTAAACTCCAGTCACCTGCATAACCACAATCAAAAGCACAAAACTACAACTAAAAAATAACATGATGGACACTGAGTCTGCACAGCTGAGCAACCACATCCACAACAACAATGAAGCTACAACCACCAAATTGAACCAAACTCACAACTTAAGGTATTCTTCATCCTCAAATTTACTTCACCTGGAAAGCCACAACAACTGTGAGAAACGCCAACCAAACCACGACAGCAACAATGAAACAAGTAAATACATGGATAAAGACATACACTGAAACTACGCAACTAAATTACAACTACAAAACGACAGCAAAGCACACCCGACACAGACAGTCAAACTCTGTCACCTGGCAACCACAACCACTCAAACCAAACTACACCAAACAACTACTACAACAGGTAATTTACAATACAGGAAATATCGAGACATAATCAGACTACAACTAAATAACAATCAAACATTTAAACAAGTAAATAAATTGACGCTACAACTTAAATGAAATGACCAAAACAAACAATTCAACAAGCTCGGAAGCCAGGACATATAGGGTATCTCAATTTTGATTGAGAATTCTTAGTAAAACACTAAAAACACAAGAGAATCTACAAACTGATACACGTGCACAAATATAAATACTGTACAAACTCATTCAGTGTTGTTGGGTTGGAAGTGGTGGCATAGTGGTTGGCGTACTTCACTATGAACCCGGCGATCTGAGTTCGATTCAGGGCCATCGTTAAACCATCACTAAACTAAAACTATGTTTGATTTTACCAGGTAAGGTCCACTGAACTATATAACTCTTTCTCAGACACGACCTGGCCACAAATGAAGTGGCTAATCATGTAGAAATGTATATTCTCGACTTGTTATTTTCTTTGAACCTATCTACGTGACTTTACCGAAAGACCCAAGAATATGAATCCCTGCAGTCAAGAAAGCTTTAAGTCAATGTAGAAATGTATATCAGCCAAGTAGACTAAACGCGTGTTTCTACACGTGGAGGGGAAAACTGGAGGCCCCAGAGAAAATTCCACACAACCACGAGTCAGGGTCGGAATTTAACCCACGACCTCCTGCATACCAGGCGAGGGAGAATAATATCTCCTAGCCACCGTGGCGCCTAATAGCAGCGAGTGATATTGGAACCAGTGCTGCCCTCACCCCCCCACGCCGTTCACCAACCCACACTGACCAGTTTTATGAAATACCTGTATGGTCAAACATCTACCCAAACGAAAAGGTGTGGGGAGACCTTCCTCAAGCAGTGGAACGTTAACAGGGTTTGACACAACAACCCGCGTGTTAAAAGGGAGCGAAGCCACCCTCTCTGGTGAGTCGGGGGTACTGCATTCTGTGTCGGTGGATGAGATCTTTACTGGGTGTGCATGTACTAACACTCCTACAGTATTGTACATGGGCTGAGGCGAATAAACCGTGTTAAGCTCACCGAACCGAGGCACGCACACACACTAATTGGCCTGGCATGCAGCATAACGTTAACATAGAAACAAAATGTTTTACATTCATGAATTGCCAATCATGCCCCAAAACTATAAAGGTTAGAATATTCTTTATTGGTAAACTCTCTGGTAGGTTTTGTTACAATTGGAGGGTTTTGTAGTTTTATTAAAAAAAATGTGAAGTGTCCTTGGACAGATGAACACAATATTTCCCAGGCATATCCATACATATCTAATCAGGGTCTTTAAAACCACCAAGGCATAACAAAACTGCAACAAAACAAAACAAGGACCAAGGCCGGCAGTCTTCGAAAACATCAACTTGGCAATCACAAAGAAACAACACCCAAACGACAGGTATAGAACTTAATAACTGAACAGCAATCACTCAAACTACTAAGCAACCAAACAACACTAAACCATCTGAACTATGTAAACAAATAAAATGATGCAACGTCTGGTTATTGGAATATTGGAATACCCTTAAATAGGGCTCCTATTGGTCGTGTGTCCCCACTCTCACCCGTCATCCCCTGCATTGGCTTCCCCTTGTGTCCTGCTCTTCTATCGAGTCTTAAGATGCTTTTTTTGGATTTAGATACTTAATAATTTTATTTCTTGTTGCTGTTGTGTTTTTTTCTCCTCAGCTGATACATGCCTCTTGTAATGCCAATCGCCGACAGTGTACGCTCAATCCCGACAGGCGTGTGCCTAATTCTATCAGAAAGTCGTGTTCAGGGACACACGCGTCTCTCGCTCCACTCCGCTGGAAACCCTTATCAGCTGTGACACCTAACATCTTTCTGGATACTGGTGACTGAGTATGCATGACTGAAGGGCCCTCATTCTGAGTCTCACCCGAGCCACCATTTCAGTTGTAGTGAATAGCGTGCCTGGGTAGAACGAGAAGAATCAGGTTAATGCTGCCTGTTACGAGTCCATCTGCTTGCCTTTTGTTGAATTAACGTTCCCTTTTCTACTGGCAGAAAACGACACTTAGGTATTTCAGCCTCTGCAATGAGAAAATGTAGTAATGGGAAGATTGAACATAAACCCGTGTACATGGAGCTCCCTTCTGAACTCGTTCTTTGTGTGGACTGACAGTGCTGGAAGTCCACTCTGAGCAGGAATCCATCTATACGGAGAATGTGGATTCCCTGTGTCCTGGTCACTACAGTGAACACCACCAATGCCTCTTGTGAAGAACCTTCGCAAGACTATCATCCACACATGCAAAATTAACTGCAGATGTTGACCTTCAAAATGGAAACAGAAAATAATTGTAAAGGTTTATTGAAAAAAGACTTAGGCAGTACATCAAATACAGGACATTTACGACTATATTTACCCAAGAATGTCAGTGTGTAACACACGTGACGTCACTCCACGTCGACCAACCCACCTCATTAATAATCATGAACAGGTTACATCCTCCACATGGACCCGCCCCTCATTAATAATCATGAGCGAGTGACATCACTCCGCATGGAGAACCCGCCCTAATTAATAATCATGAACAGGTGACGTCACTCCACATTCAAGAGCCCCCCTCAATAATAATCATGAACAGGTGACGTCCTCCAAATGGACACCCCCCCTCCATTATTAATAATTATTGGGTGACGTCACTCCACATGGGGGGGGCGAGGCGCCTCCTCCCCCCTCCTCAGCGTCAACTGACAACCCTCACTCCGAAGGCAGAACCCTCACGTCACGCGATCTCCGTAACGCTATTGAGACATAGAAGTAAAAAGGACGTCATGATGAACAAGGGATTATAACCGTTAAATGAAATAAGTTTGTGTCCCCGCGGCCTTACAAATTGCACACGAATTGATGTGTCGGGGTATTCATCGGCACTCCCCATGCTGTTAGCTGGTAGCTCCCCCTTCTCGTCAACAGGGGGCGGAAGCGGGGTCACGCCAGTGTAAAGGATCATGGCCCAAGGGGCCAACGCCAATCCATGGGAAAACGGATCCTAGGACACAAATCCCCAAACCCTGGGAGGGGGGATTGGGGGATGATGTCACCTTCCAAGGTTCTGGAAGGGAGGCGTGGCTCGGGCGGAGCAAGCCACGGACCTGTATATATGCCGGACCTCTGAATGGTCCGGCTCAGTCATCTCCAAGCTGAAGACCGAAAATGGAGCTGAAGATAGGACCCTGGATCCCAAGCTCCGCTGTCCTTCTAAGGGCCGGAGCTCAGTGAGGCCAGCGGTCAAGACCTGGAGACCTTGGGACGGTCGGGTCAGCGTGGCCTCCCCTAGGGCCCTTAGCTGGAGGGCTCCGAGCTAGCGTGGTCCCAGTGTTAGGAGGCAGTGTAGCCCGGAGGCCATACCTCCTTAGGTATTGGGTGAAAGGGGCCGTTACCCCTTTGTGTCAGGGACCTTGTACTCAGTGTAGTTAAATAAATATTGTGTTACCTCACCTACGTTCTCCTCTGGTTCCTGACCCACTACAGATGCAATGAATATCACGTTGCGGTCTGCTTTTCGCTTGCAAGTTTCATATTTACTGCAATATACCCGTCCTTGGATGGGCAAAAGGCTAAAAACATCAATAATGACCATAAAAATAATGAACAAACATAAATATTAATTGTACAATCTTGACTTACAGCTTTCGTGACTGCAGGGATTCATATTCTTGAGTCTTTTGGTAAAGTCACGTAGATAGGTTCAAAGAAAACAACAAAAAATAACAAAAAACTACGTTTCGATCGCAACACAAGCGGTCGTATTCAGGAAAAGGGGGGTTAGCTTCCCAGGCAAACTGTTTCTAAAGGCTTGAAATGGGCATAGCCCAATTGTCAGCAGCCAATGATAATGTAAGTGGTGGACAGCCAACCCGACAGTGGTTGGTTTTCCACCAATCAAAGGGCTGCCAGGTGAAAATTAGCATGTTAAAGAGAGATTAGCATGTTAATGGAAGATCGCAGCGCCGCAACCAAGGGGTCCGCGCGCGAAGTGACTATGAAGAAAGCGCAAGTTTGAAATGGGCGTAAAGCACAACTAACATCGGAAGGTGGTAGGATGGGAACATCATAGCCAATTATGACTTAAACTGGTTGATAACGTCCTTCCAATGATTGCTCAGTTTGTACCCATCTTCTTGGTTTAAATTGTCGGTATCTATATATATGAACGAATCTTTGTTGATAGCCAGTGGGCTTGCAAAGTACCTTCATCGTAGAGAAATCAATTTCGTGTGAGCTCACCGCATTAAAACAATGATCAGCCACGGCAGAGGTATTGGTCCTACCGTGTTTCAGATCTGCCTTATGTTCACGAACACGGTCCGAGACATGTCTCAGTTTCCCCAATGTAACTACTGCCGCAGACACAACTTAGTTTGTAGACGCCGGGGTATTGCATGTCAGGGATCACATCCTTCACAGATGGGATCAGATCACGAATTTTATGCACTGTGTTAAATCGAACCTGGCTGTTGTGTTTGCTCATTATTTTGGAAATATTTTTAGTGACTCCTGCTATGTATGGCAAGGTGATGGTTTTGATTGGGTCCTCAGATGGTTCTTTCCCAACGATTGGGGTGATAGCTTTACGGATTGTGTAGTCTGAACATCCATTCATCTTGAGGGCTTGATGTACGTGTTCCAGTTCACTGGCTAGGTGATGACGGTCAGAAATACATTGAGCTCTATAGTGTAGAGTTTTGATGAGGGAATTCTTCTGGGATGGATGGTGGTGGGAGTCAGGTTTTAGGTAGGCATCCGTATGGGTGGCTTTCCTGTAGTCAGCATCCCATTGAGCTATCTAGTCTCCTTTCTATTAAAACATCCAAGAATGGTAACTTGCCATCCTTTTCCACCTCAATGGTGAATTTGATGGTTGGGTGTATGGAATTGATGTGGCTGAAGAATTGGTTCCGAGCTGATCAGCCATGTGGCCAGATGACGAACATGTCATCTACGTACATCTTCCACAAGGACGGACGTAGAGTGGATGCCTGGATGTCATCCGTCTCAAAACTTTCCATGAAAACATTGGCTACAACTGGAGATAAGAGAACCCATTGGGGTACCTTCAACTTGTTTGTAGAATGTTCCATTCCAGGTGATGTGTTGGTGAGGCAGTGTCTCACCAGCGCCGATACATCAGGATTCAATCCTTGTTGGACCAAATCTTCAATGATTGCAATGGTGTCAAGCACAGGAACTTTGGTAAGTGGATTCATAAGATATTTGTGTTAACTTCATCGTGCAGTGGTTCAAGAGCCTTAATGTTAGCTGAAAGCTCCATCTGATGCACTCTTGAATTATTAAAATGCTTTGCTTGATTTCCAGAGAGACTAAGAATCCCATATTTTATAATTAATGTCAACTGTCCTGCTATAATTTTAAATTGTGCCACTTTTAAAATACATGGCATTTCTCCCTTGCTGAGCCCAACAACATGTCCCAATTATTTTTTCTCAAGTCTGCCTCCATTTAGACAAAGTTTTCATACCCATTCATCTTTACACCATTCAATTTGTAGTTTGCAGATGCAATCAGGGGATTCAATAATAAAATGCCACCGAAAACGATTTCCAGGTTCCTAACTGGTAATTGATTCTGAAAATGGTCCATGGTTTTCCGTTTGTTTTTTAACAAACATAATATGTGTATATAAGTGTATTTATATACATATTTACACCTATATATTTTTGTATGTGCATACACCTGCTCACCTCAAACCTCTGTGAGCTCACCCTCTTGCCCTTCTTCATCCAGGTGATGCGGGGCCGTGGATCACCTGCTGTCTTGCACACAAACGCCGCCACCCCGCTAGACACTCCACTTTGATCCACCGGGGTTCGTGTGAAGTGAGGCGGGCCTGAGAACACGCGGAGACACACGAACCCAGAACATGTGACTACCTGAAACTTAGCATCAGAAGACTGGATTTCAGGAAAGTAATTGACTCGGCTCCAGGAAACCTCGTTTTGGTATCAGGATATTGATGTGACTCCATTCTTGATATTGATTGGAGACTTTATGCAGACCATTTCATTGGGTTATCACCAAATGAGTTCATCTAATATCAGTCGACAATTGCAGTATTATATTCTTAGTTCTTTCAGTAAAGTCATGTAGAAGGGAAACAAGCAAATAAAAAATATAAAACAATTGCAGTATTCTTGTTTACCCAAGAAAGCCTCTGTGAGTCTCAATACTTTTTCAGGAGGGTCCTGCAAAGTTTCACATAAGTTGGCGATACTGCAATGTGTAATCCTAATAAATGAACTTGCAGGTAATGTTTTTGCATTGGGATTTTTGGCCAATACCAGTTCAATTGCATTGGTCTTTTTTAACTGAAAGAACCTTCTGTATGACATCATAATGACATTTTAAGTCTGAGTCAACCTAATGTAGCAATGCATTAATTTACTATTTAGATCTTAATAGGACGTTCATTTCGAGGTTGAGCTATTTCCAGTGAGCCCGGCAACCTGCGTTCGACTACTAGCTACAGCTTACTTCAGTGGTGAGTGATATAAGACCCAGTTATGCCCTCCTCCCTTTCACCAATCCTCATTGACCAGCATGGTGACACATTACCGAAAGAAGCAAAGGGTAATGGTGACATATGGTCAAAAACCTCCATAGCTGACATGGTGTGGCAAGGCCTTCATCCAATGGTGGATTGAAAATGGGAGGACCTTATTTATTTGTATATAGGATATCCATTTCAGTCTCGGTCAACCTAGTGTAGTACTTTAATTTTAATCTGAGTCCAAGTGTAGTACCTTGTTAAGTGGTCACTTTAGTCCGAATTGTCTTAGTGTAGGGCAGTATCAAGTCTCCATTCTAATATAAACAATATCCTGCTGGGTGTCCTTTTAGTATGGGTCTTTAATAAATGTCAATTTCAGTCTGAAGTGACCTACTGAAGGCTTGATGATTCATTACCTGGAATACAAACTTTGCTGTCGCCCCAGGCCACTGTCGAGAAACTCATACATTATTCAACACAAATAATTAATTAAACAATAAACACCAACAAATTCTACAGAACTCAAAAAATGTGCACTCCCCAGCAACACTTTTATTTAACTATGGTTAAGACTGGGATTCTGGCTAAGTGTCTTGATTGAGATTTGGCTTCAGGTGGCTGGGTTTCAAGATATGAATCATGATTGAGACTCAGCTCCAGGAAAATAACAGTGAAAATGTCAGATTCTTGAGACTCCATGAATCCCATTGAGCCATAAAAAGACTCAACCTGTGGAAAATTCTATAAAGTATGAGAAAAACGCTCCTAGTAGACGCGTGTGACCGTGCTGCTTGGTTCAGTGTTGGCGTCAGATTCAGCTGTAAATGAGACTTGCATCCCAGGGGTGGTGCTGGTGTGGTCGAGAAACAGTAATAAACAAATATAACAGCTTTGCTTCACACCGTTTATTACAAATATGAAGGGGAAAAATCCCAGGAAGCCAACAGCAATAACATGAAACAGCTGCAGAGGCAAAGCAAACATTGCCTCAGGGGGAAAGGTGGCCAGAAGGCTCACGGGGCTCATAATTGTTGTGTCCGAGCAGTGAGCCTGCACCACTGCGTCCTGGGTTCAAGCCTTGGGTCTGGGTGTTTCTCACTCTAAGTGGATTCATAATGGCTGTGTAAGAGCCAATGAACCAGCACAATTCAGTGCCTTGGTTCAAGCCCCAAGGCTGAGCTTCTCTCAATTTAAGAATGCTTATATAGGTAATATCAAAGACATTAAACTAATACTGCTGAGATTCTAATTAAATCAAGCAGTGTGTTTAGCGAGTTTGATGTCTCAATTCATTCACAAATCGTTACACAATGAAGTGATAATATGATGATTGTGGCTTGTTATATAATTTAGCCAAATACAGTGAGGGAAAAAAGTATTTGATCCCCTGCTGATTTTGTACGTTTGCCCACTGACAAATAAATGATCAGTCTATAATTTTAATGGTAGGTTTATTAGAACAGTGAGAGACAGAATAACAACAACAAAAATCCAGAAAAACGCATGTCAGAAATGTTATAAATTGATTTGCATTTTAATGAGGGAAATAAGTATTTGACCCCCTCTCAATCAGAAAGATTTCTGGCTCCCAGGTGTCTTTTATACAGGTAACGAGCTGAGATTAGGAGCACACTCTTAAAGGGAGTGTTCCTAATCTCAGATTGTTACCTGTATAAAAGGCACCTGTCCACAGAAGCAATAAATCAATCAGATTCCAAACTCTCCACCATGGCCAAGACCAAAGAGCTCTCCAAGGATGTCAGGGACAAGATTGTAGACATACACAAGGCTGGAATGGGCTACAAGACCATTGCCAAGCAGCTTGGTGAGAAGGTGACAACAGGTGGTGAAATTATTCGCAAATGGAAGAAACACAAAAGAATTGTCAATCTCCCTCGGCCTGGGGCTCCATGCAAGATCTCACCTCGTGGAGTTGCAATGATCATGAGAACGGTGAGGAATCAGCCCAGAACTACACGGGAGGATCTTGTCAATGATCTCAAGGCAGCTGGGACCATAGTCACCAAGAAAACAATTGGTAACACACTACGCCGTGAAGGACTGAAATCCTGCAGCACCCGCAAGGTCCCTCTGCTCAAGAAAGCACATATACATGCCCGTCTGAAGTTTGCCAATGAACATCTGAATGATTCAGAGGACAACTGGGTGAAAGTGTTGTTGTCAGATGAGACCAAAATGAGCTCTTTGGCATCAACTCAACTCGCCGTTAAATTTAGATTTAAAGCTTTCGTGACTGCAGGGATTCATATTCTTGGTTCTTTCGGTAAAGTCACGTAGAAGGGAAACAATAAAAATATAAAAAATAAAATTATCACGACGTTTCGACTGCAACACAAGCAATCATCATCAGGTGTGAACACCACAGCAAGAAAATTTTAAAAAGTGGCGGTTATTTTAACGTTAACACCACAGAGAGCGATTTGACAGTTTGTTCAGGTGGACGAGTCCATCTATGTTCGGAAAAGAGGAGGGGAGAGACGAAAATAACGGATGCGGTCTGAAAGCCACAGTAAGCGTGACCAATCAATTAAGACCCGAAATGGTTTATCAAATCCTTCCAATGATTGCTAAGCCAGAATCCATCTTCTCGGTTGAAATTGTCTGTGTTTGTATATGTGGATAGCCTCATGAACGAATCTCTCATGGTAGCCAGATGGCTTGCAAAGAACCTCTGTCTTGGAGAAGTCAATGTCATGTGAGCCTATTGAATTATAACAGTGATTGTCACGGCCGAGGTGTTGGTCCTACCGTGTTTTAGGTCTGCTTTGTGTTCACGAATGCAGTCCGAGACATGTTGTTTGGTTTCTCCAATGTAACTACTCCACAGAAGCACGTACACCAAGCTCTTAAGGCTAATGGTTACTCCGACAACACAATCCGCAAAGCTCTCACTCCAACCATGAAGAAGGACCCTCTTGAGGAGCCTTTCAAAACCATCACTTTACCCTACATTGCGGGGATCACAAAAAAGATCTCCAAAATCTTGAATAAACACAAGATCCAGGTCCGATTCAACACATTACATAAAATCCATGATCTGGTTCCGTCTGTAAAAGATGTGATTCCGGACATACAGTACCCTGGCGTCTACAAACTAAGTTGGCCGTGAGTTTTAGGTCATGAAAATGACCCAAAACACACAGCCAAGGCAGCAAAGGAGTGGCTCAAGAAGAAGCACATTAAGGTCCTGGAGTGGCCTAGCCAATCCCCAGACCTTAATCCCATAGAAAATCTGTGGAGGGAGCTGAAGGTTCGAGTTGCCAAACGTCAGCCTCGAAACCTTAATGACTTGGAGAAGATCTGCAAAGACTAGTGGGACAAAATCCCTCCTGAGATGTGTACAAACCTGGTGGCCAACTACAAGAAACGTCTGACCTCTGTGATTGCCAACAAGGGTTTTGCCACCAAGTACTAAGTCATGTTTTGCAGAGGGGTCAAATACTTATTTTCCTCATTAAAATGCAAATCAATTTATAACATTTTCGACATGCGTTTTTCTGGATGTTTTTGTTGTTATTCTGTCTCTTACTGTTCAAATAAACCTACCATTAAAATTATAGATTGATCATTTCTTTGTCAGTGGACAAACGTACAAAATCAGCAGGGGATCAAATACTTTTTTCCCTCACTGTACATCTCTGAGGGCTGAAAATTCTAAATGTTAGATTGCTGATATGCAGCATTAACTAGCATCATTGTTTTGATTTAAAGCTTTCGTGACTGCAGGGATGCATATTCTTGGTTCTTTCGGTAAAGTCACATAGAAGGGAAACAATAAAATAATATATTTTTATTATTTTATTGTTTCCCTTCTACGTTATTTTACCGAAAGAACCAATAATATAGCATCATTGTCTTTGGCGGAGGGAAGCCTTTTATTGAAGTGGCTCCTCACTCCATCTTGCTCCATCTCGCCCACGTCAGCCTCACGTGCCCGTTATCCACGGCTATATTCCTTCACCTCCCTCCCGACACTTGCTTCGTATCGCCAGCAAGGTCAGCTACAAAGACAACCTGCCTTTACCACCGCGCCTCTAATTTCAGTCGTCCACCTTATCTTTCTTCGCTCCTGTCACCCTGCACTATAGCTCACGGTGGAACTCTCCACAGCATCACGATTCACAACCTCCTCTCTACACCAAGGACCATGAACGTCAATGCCAGGCGTCGTTTCTCCAGCGGCAACCCCCACCGTCTGGAACTGGAACACCATTCAGCTGCACATTCGCAACATTCAATCTACACCGATTTTTAAGAGAAACCGAAAGGCCCACCTCTATTGTCTGGGTTTCAAATTACACTGAGAGAGGCTCCGTGCC